AAAAAAAAACAACAACAACAAAAACAAAAAAACATAACATCTTGTGACATTTCCGGTTCAAACTCTCTTCCGGTAGGTGGCGCCAGCGAACCAGAACAGTTCCACCGTCAATAAATAGCAGAAGAAGAAGACGAGCGACGACAAACCAGAAGTGTTCAGGAAGTCAGTTTGATATTTTCTACTTGGAAAGCCAAACAAAACCAAACCTCAAAAATGGACAAAATCATTTCGGACATGAAATGCTGATCGATGCAGCACGCGCCTGAAACCGGACGTGACGACAACAACGATGCGAGGAACATTTCCCGACAGAAATCGTTCCCAGCGTTAGCTAACTCAGCTAAGCTAACTACAACTGCATCCGCTGGAAACTGGTAACTAAACTTAACATAACACTTTAAATTTAACTCTTTGAGCTGGAAAGTAGTAACTAAACTCGAAGTAACATTTAATATATAACACTTAAGTCTCTAAATTAATAATTAAACTTAATGCAACACCTTAAATTTACCTTCTTAAGTTTCTCTCCACTTTGAATCTGATATTATTCATTGATGACTAAACCTGATGCAATACTTTGAGTTGACTTATTTTAATTTGGAAACCGATAACTTAAGTCGATGTTCCACCTTAAATTAAACTTAATGTAACACTTGAAATTTACTTATTTAAGGTGGAAACTGATGGATAAACTGGATGTGACGTTAAATTAAGGTGGAAACTGATAATTAAACCAAATATAACACATGAAATTTACTTATTTAAGGTGGAAACTGATAATTAAACTTAATGTAACACTTTAAAGCAGTGGTGTTCAAAGTCAGTCCTCAAGGGCCGGTGTCCTGCATGTTTTAGGTGCTGCCTGAACCTAAGGAGTGCCTGATTGGTAGGCCTCTGCAGACCTGGATGGCAAACTGAGGAGGCCTGTTAATTAGGCTCTCCTTAGGTTCAGCTGTGTTGAACAAGAGCAGCACCTAAAACATGCAGGACCCCGACCTTTGAGGACTGACTTCGGACACCACTGCTTTAAATTGACTTATTTAAGGTATAAAGTGATAAATAAACTAGATGTAACATGTTATATCGMCTTATTTAAGGTGGAAACTAATAGATAAACCAGATGTAACGTAAAATTGATCTATTTAAGGTGGAAACTGAAGACTGAACTGGATGTAACGTGTTAAATTGACTTCTTTAAGGTGGAAAATGATAAACTAGATGTAACTTGTTTAATTGATCTATTTAAGGTGGAAATGATAATTAAACTAGATGTAACATGTTATATTGACTTATTTAAGGTGGAAACTAATAGATAAACCAGATGTAACATGTTAAATTGATCTATTTAAGGTGGAAACAGAAACTGGATACAACCTGTTACATTGACTTCTTTAAGGTGGAAAATGGTAAACTAGATGTTACATGTTTAATTGATCTATTTAAAGTGGAAACTGAAGACTAAACAGGATGTGACGTGTTAAATTGACTTAAGGTGGAAACTGATAAACTTAATGTAACATGTTAAATTGACTCATTTAAGGTGGAAACTGATAGATAAACTGGATGTAAACTGTTAAATTGACTTTTTAAGGTGGAAAATGATAGATAAACTAGATGTAACATGTTATATCGACTTGTTTAAGGTGGAAACTAATAGACAAACCAGATGTAACTTGTTAAATTGATCTATTTAAGGTGGAAACTGATAGATAAACTGGATGTAACCTGTTAAATTGACTTAAGGTGGAAACTGATAGATAAACTGGATATAACCTGTTAAATCGACTTCTTTAAGGTGGAAACTGATANTTAAGGTGGAAACTGATAGATAAACTGGATATAACCTGTTAAATCGACTTCTTTAAGGTGGAAACTGATAAACTAGATGTAACATGTTTAATTGATCTATTTAAGGTAGAAAGTGAAGACTGAACTGGATATAACGTGTTGAATTGACTTATTTAAGGTTGAAAATGATAAAAAAAACTAGATGTAACATACAGTATTAAATTAATCTATTTAAGGTGGAAACTGAAGACTGAATTGGACGTACCGCCTCTCCATGGTTGAAACCACGAGCTGAAGTCCATGTGACACCTTTAACGGACCTCTCCAGCACTCTGGGTGCGGTGTTGTTGAGACGCAGACTCTTTGGTGGGCTTCCGTTGCTTTATCATAGAATGTGGCTGCAGCAGAGACTGAAGGGGCTCCCAGGCCTGCTGTCCAGCAGCTGGGCCAGGCGGGTCCTGATCGGGCTGCTGCTCTTCCTCATCTTCTACTGGTACCTGGGCTCAGGGGGCAGGTGGCGGTTCCTCAGTGGCTCTGCCATGCCTGGGGGTGCGGCGGGGCAGTGCCTCCAGGCTGAGATCCACAGGTGGAGCTCCATCGTGGAGCGAGGAGAGGGGGTGTACAGCTCCCCTGAGGAGGTGCTGGACATGCCCTTTGTGTCCGGTAACGGCCACGTTCTGATCGACGTCGACTCAAACAAGTTGTGGGTGTCGTCCTCCTCGCAGCCCGGCTCTGCCCCAGTTCATCAGACGGACTACTCCCCGATCATCGGGGTCCACCTGGAGGACGAGCGGGCCGTGGTCCGGGCCAGCATGCTGTGGTTCAGAAAAGGAGCCGTGCTGTCGGTCCGGTGCGCCTCCCTGTCGGCTGGCCAGTCCGCCCGGGACTGCGTCTCCATCCGGGAGGAGTTCATGGCCCACCGGAGCAGACCCAACGTGTTCCTGCAGAGAATCCAYGTCAGCAACCCGTCCGACAGAACCGCCACCCTGGACGTCGGCTCCGACGGCTCGGCCCGAAGGACCAAGTTCTCCTCCAGCCTGGAGAAACTGGAGAACCGAGAGGTGGAGCTCTCCTCCGGCAGGGTGCAGGTGGAGAACAACCGCATGGTCCTGGTGGTGGTGGTCACCAAAAAGCTGAACAGCAGGATCCAGGTCCCCGCTAAGTCCGAGTTCCAGGACAACATTGTGTCCGTGGTGTGGACCTCAGAGCCCATCGAGGCCTCCAAGCTGGAGGAGACCTTCAGCTCCCTCAGAGACGGAGCCAAGAAGGAGATGGACGATCTGCTGAGGACTGAAATCAACAAACTGGTTCAGGATCACCAGAACGCCTGGATGGCACTCTTTATCTCAGGTGAGCCCAGGCTGGGGGACCAGGTGAAGCAGGTCTGAGCTGACCTCCAGGATTTCTGCAGGTTTTTTTTGGACTTTGGCTGCTTTTTCATCCAGGTTCAGTCCTCCTGCCTGAATCTATAAAMTATAAATAAGAGGAAAATCAGCTGAAGTCCAAATAAAAACGTCTATTTTTTAAAAAGATTGAAGTCTTTTTAGACGGTAAAATAAATTCTGGCATGTTGGAAATAAAAAAATAAAGATGAGGCACAACCCAGGAGGTTCTATAGAACTGGAGCTCAGACACCAGGTGACCATGTGATCGGCTGGAGAAGCTAACGGCTAACGCTAAACGGGCAAGACTTCCCATTACTGTACATGTTGACAACAGAGCAGAAAAAAAGGACTGATGTAGAAATCATTACAACTATTAATAATTATATTAACCCAATTGTTATTAATATTTTACAGTTTATATAATCGAACTAATGTTTTAAATAATGTCAGAAAAGCCGTTTGTGTTATGGATTTATTAACAGAAGATAAACAGGAAAACGTCTCATTTTACAACAAGTCAGCAGATTTGATCTTATTTAGCTCAATGTGATCTGAGCAGAACATAATGTAACAGTTTAAAATTAAAATAATCTTACAAAGTCCATGTAATCTGTAAAATTAGCTTGTGGAGCATATATAC